GAATGGCCTCCTCTCGTTTGTAAATTTCTTATGTTCTTATGTTCTTATGTTCTTAAAGCCATTAGAGATTAGAAAAGACTGAGAAAACCAAAGGGAGAGAGTGACTTGTTCCCATCATGCATTGCAGACGCATCAGTGATCATGCAGATGATGTTCATCCTCTTCATCCTGCTGTTGTTCGTCTTCCTGATTGTTCGCACCATCATGATCAAAAATAAGGTGTGTCACCTTCCCTGAACATGCAGAGCAGTTACCAAACATGCCCGTCACCAGCACAGCAGCTCCTCAAGAATCTCCAGAAATCCCCATCCTGCATCGCCATAAGCAGCAGGGTTTAAATGATTGATCTCCAGTAGCAGAGCCTTCTTTTTCTTGCAGAAACCCCGATATGAAAGCCAGATTCAGGTTCTTCAGGTAGTGGGACCCCTGGACAATGATTACATTTACATCAACTTCAAAGAGTTCTCCTACAACCTGGAATGGGAATTTCCCCGGGAAAACCTCAAGCTGGGTGAGGGAGATGCCCGTCTGTGCTGCTGAGTTTACTTCCTGAATCCAAAAGCTGAATCTCCCTGCCAACCCCCCAGGGAAGGAGCTGGGCTCTGGGGCCTTTGGGAAGGTGGTGAAGGCCACAGCGTATGGGCTCAGCCAGCCTGGAGTGTCCATGCAAGTGGCAGTAAAGATGCTGAAAGGTGTGTCACAAATCAGACCACTGACTTCTGGGGTGATCTACTGCTCCTAAGATGATGGTGGGGTCTGCAAGCTGGCCACACGTTTAAAGCAGCTTCAAACCAGAGGACATGTTTTAGATTAAATTGTTTTAGGTTAAATGTATTAAATGCTTTTCTCCATAAAATTCTGAATTGCCAGACAAGCACCACCCAGTGGAGCGAGAGGCCCTCATGTCAGAGCTGAAGATGCTGGTGCATATCGGCAGGCATGTGAACATTGTCAACCTGCTGGGTGCATGTACAGAATCAGGTAGGATCACCTGACAGGGCTGCACGGAATCAGATATGGGCACTTGACGGGCCTGCACGGAATCAGGTACAGCCACCTAACGGGGCTGCACGGGATCAGATACGATGGCCTGATTAGCTGCACAGGATCAAGTATGATCACCTAACAGGGTGTACAAAATCTGGATTCATAATGAAACAGGTATAGCTTGACAGTACCTGTTAGCAGCTATGATTTGTGATAACCCTGAGATGGTCTACAGAGAACTTGGATAAAACCATGAAAATATCAGCTGCTAGTACAGTCTGACCAGCTTAGATTGTCTATCTTGCGATGTTACTGGTGTGTGGCTGATGTGGGACTGTATGGTGTCTGAATAAACAGCTTGCTTTATATAATGAGGCCTGATGGACTTCCAGGACCCGTCTATCTGATCTTCCAATACTGCTGCAATGGAGACCTGCTGAGCTACCTGAAGAACCACAGAAAGCAATTCCAGAAGTCACTGTCTGACATGTTTGACCAAAAGAGGTTCCACTGCCTGTTTCAGACCGAGCTGACCTTCAGGTGGGGCTCCCCGACAGAGACAGGGTGTTAACACGGTGCAGAGATACTGAGCATTAACTCAGCACAGAGAGACAGGGCATTAACACGGTGCAGTCCCCAACATAGAGACGGGGCGTTAACACGGTGTGGTCCCCGACACAGAGATGCACCGTTAACACAATATGTTATCACGGTGCGGTCCCCAACAGAGAGACAGGGCGTTAACACGGTGTGGTCCCCGACAGAGAGACAGGGCGTTAACATGGTACGGTCCCCGACAGAGGGACAGGTCGTTAACACGGTGCGGTCCCCGACAGAGAGACAGGCTGTTAAAATGGTGCAGAGAGATGGGGCGTTAATACTGACAGTGTTAGCACAGCATTTCTTAGAACATGTGAACTTAACAGGAAGTATGTGAAGAAAAAGGCAAAGATAAGATGTTAGGGCAAAGATAAAGAGAGGAATGTAGCTCTCCCATGTTATTTTCCCATATTATTAACAGTAAGGAATCACCTGTTTCTAATGATCTAACCATCTTGGGTGGGGGTCAAGGGTAGAGTTAGGGCCTGGGGGCTCTGGGAGGGTCCAGCTTCTTCACAGATTTCTTGTTTTTCCAGAGAAAGAGAAGGTAGCTTTAACAGCACCTACATTCCAATGTCCCCCCTGCTCTTCAGAGACACACAGGGGCCCAGCAGAGCCAGCATTCATGGCGGTCAGTGCAGGCTCAATGGGAGGTCATGGGGGAGGTCACGGCAGGGGACTTATAATCTGGCTTATATGCTTGTTTGTGTGGTAGGTCTGGTATTTGTATATATTTGGCTGTTCACCCAGGAATTAATGAAGAGTCAGACTCCCTGGAAGAGCTTCATATCCTCACCTACCACGACCTGCTCAGCTTTGCTTGTCAGGTGGCCAAAGGCATGGAGTTTCTGTCGTTGCAGAATGTGAGTCGAAAAGCTGCTCAGAAGCAGCATTCACCCAGCCACAGTAGGTCCCAGCAAATGGCCACACTGAGCAGCAAATAAGGAGCATCTACAGGAGCATATCATCAGTGCTATGCTGTCAAATCCTGTAATCCAGCCATTTAGACAAACAATTTATGATAACATATTAACACCACATACACCGTACTGGTGCCTGTATGGTCTTTAGCTGGCATCTGGTTTCTGTCTAGTGTATCCATAGAGACCTTGCTGCAAGAAATGTACTGGTTACACAAGAGAAATATGTGAAGATTGGAGACTTTGGACTTGCCCGAGACATTGAAAATGACAGCAACTATGTAGTAAGAGGAAACGTAAGTTGTGCTGCCACAAACATTATGTGAGATTCATCTTTTAGAATGGACTACTGAGCATGCCCAGTGTAATGTGTGGCTCTGACTCTACTGAGCATGCTTGGTTTTAGGTGCGTCTGCCAGTGAAGTGGATGGCACCAGAGAGCTTGTTTCAGGGCGTGTACACGAAGCAGAGTGACATCTGGTCTTATGGAATCCTGCTGTGGGAGATCTTCTCACTGGGTATTCAGCTTCACACAACAACATCAATCTTTCACATACACCTCAGCCCCAAACACTCACACACACACAGGTTTGTAATTATAACCTTATGGGGACTCTCCATTCATTTCGATAGGAAAACTCTGATCTCAACATGACAACCTTAACCCCTACCCAGCCTTAACCATAACAACACACCTAAATATGAAACTTTTGACATTTGTAGTTTTTTGATTGCATTCCCATTTCTTTGGGGGTTCTGAAAAATGGTCCTCACAAGGTAAAAAACAACAGGTATTTAATACATTGTGGGGGAAATTTGGTCCCCACAATGTAATATGAACATAATCCACACACACACACACACCTCATCCTCACACACACATGCTATAGGTACTGTTCACTTGAATAGACATTATGTCCAGTTTTTCCATTTAAATTCTGTTTCTATGCAAAGTAATAAAATACAGCTGATTCTATGCAAAGTAATAAAATACACACGCAGTTACATTCACAGCAGTACAGATACTTGCGTACAGTCATTCACCTTCACAGGCCTGTATTAATAGTGACACAGGCCCATGTAATACACATCCAGGCACACAGTGAGAATCTCCTTAAATTCTGTCCTGTTTAAAACCAGGTGTTACGCCATACCCAGGGATGAAGGTGGACCAGAAATTCTACATGCTGATTGAAGGTGGTTTTCAGATGGACCAGCCATACTACGCCAGTGACTCTATGTATGTGTATAGGTTTAGGTGGGGGTTACAATGGGGTTATGGTAGGGGTGCGAGTTAGAATGGGGATCTGGCTGGAGGCCATGCAGCAGCAGAGGGAAATCGGATAAACCAGAGTGATTAACACTTTTTCCTCCAGGTATGATATAATGCGCCTCTGCTGGGCCCTGACACCCCAAGACAGACCGCACTTTTCAAAACTGGTGGCCGTACTGGAGACTCAGCTGGAGGACAGTGAGAAACAGGTGAGACCAGCAGCCACTAACAAGGGCTGACACGGTGCAGTGCGTTCATGATGACGCTTTAGCATACGATAGTGGTGATGAAAGCAAATACAGGCTTGGGTTTGATCTCAGTCATTCTGCGCTTGAAAGTCACAGCATTTCTGTTCCTAATTTTTGGGCTATAGTCGGCTGCTTTTGATTCTAAATAATGAAAATATCTTGCATTTTTTATAAAAATAAGCTGTCAGCTGATCTAATGCTGTTGCTGGCCACAAATAGGCACCAGTGAAGGCTCTACCATAGTCAGGCAGCTGTACAACCTTCTGTTAGAGTCACAATGCCGAGTCACAGAGTCATCACCATGTACTTCACAGCTATACACCAACACCGGAGAAAAGGCCTTGAGCCAATCAATCTACCAGAATGCCGATGTTCTCCCGGAGCATAGGAGGCCAAACAGAGAAGATGAGAAAGTGCCAGAGAATGAGTCCAGAGAGACTGAAGTCCCGCCCGGTCCGGCCTCCATTCCAACTGAGCTGACCCCCCTGAAAGAGCAGGGCTAAACACGAATCTGTATGACTTTAATTCGATAGTACCAGCAAAGCAAGCTAAATGCTAATACACACACAGATATGGTAGCAGTTACATAGCATGATGTCAGTCTGTTAGGCTTCTGCAGCTATAGTATATAGCTGCAGAAGTACATCTCTGAATATACTTCTATGAGCATCTTGGTATTTTCAGGAATTACACATGTAGCCTGTGATTTATAGCCCTATATACTATATACTGTAATTTATAAGGATAATTTAGACCCATGACCTAGTCTTGGACGAGTCCATTTTAAAAATATATATTTTTTGTTAAAGTTTGCTTCATATTGGTTATTATTGGTTGAATGAATGTATATAATCCATTGCTTTTTGTTTTACTATAATGTGCCTAAAATGTTTTTTAACCAGGATAGGACTGGACAATTTGAGGTTTTAGAACCACTTAATAGTAGTGATTATAACATGATTAAATTCAAGGTTAATTTTAGTGTCCAAAGAGCAAAGTCCAAAACAAAAATATACAATGTTAGGAAGGCCAACTTTAATGGTTTGAGACAGAAACTAGAAACTAGTAGTTAAATAAGACTGTTGAAGAGGCATGGGAATTTTGTAAAAGCACATTAGTGCAAGTGCAAGAGGACTTCATACCTGTTTCCAGCAAAAGTAAATCTAGGAAACTGCAACCAAGGTGGTTTAATACGGAAATTAAGAATACATTTCCACAAATCAAAAATAACAAATGATGTTAGAATAAAGCAGGAGTATCTCCAGTATAAGTCAACAGGGTGGGTTAAAAAATAAGATTAGTCTAAGAAGAATGTCGAAAGGAAGATTGCATTGGAGGCTAAGGATGACATTGAAAGTTTTTTCCAATATTTTAACTCCAAAAGAGCTCTAAAAGCTGAAATCACTAATCTGAAGGATAGTAAAGGGCTTATAATTGAAAATTAAATTGATATAGTTTAATGATTGATTTTATGAGTTTAATGATTGTTTTGTGTGTTCTAATCCTTCCTCCTCTGTTTTTATATTTTGTAGATTTTGTTTCCTAGTGTTTCATTTGTATCAGATTTTCTAGTTCCTGTTGTGATTTGTATTCAGTTTTGTTTTTTGCTTTGTGTCCATGATTGTTTTACCTGGGGGGTATTCCAGAAAGCTTGGTTAACTTACCATTTGGTAAATCTTAACCTCTGGGTTGATATACCCCAAACCCGCAAACCATGAGTATGTCGGTTCCAAAACACCTGAGAAGAGTAAGTTCAATCAACCTCCTATTGGTACCCCGAGTTAATGCGCGTGCACCGTGCATACATAAAGACGTTTTCAATTGATCGCCGATTT